ATTCTGTCTCCTGAACAGCAATGTAATGCTGCCAGGGTGCCGAATGGGAAGTGTTGCAGTGACAACTTTCCATGTAGGTAGGTATACAAGAATCCCCGAGGGTCTGTGTTACGGAAATATCATAATCTTCTGAAGCAAAATTTGTGTCCAACCAAACTATGCTGCAAAGGGGAATAGAGTGCATGCTCAACAACCTTCTGTGCATGTCTGGGATGATTCTACTTCCATGCAGACACGCATGTTTGCAGATGCAGAAAGTTTAACACCGGGCTTACACCTCCATCCTCCCCTCCTGCCTCCTCACATGGACTTTGTGGCTCTTTCAACCTTCCCACTGCACCACCAATAAGAAAATAGGTTCCAAAACAAAGTTGCATTTCTTTTAAACGTGAACGAGAACACAGTTTACTTGCATAGGAGCTCAGGAGAAGAAAAAAAAAACCCTTAGCGATTCAGGGGTGTCTGTTGTTTTTCTGAGGTCAGAATGCTTAAAAACTTGTGCCTGTTGGATTGTGCAATTTAACAGCCAGTTCAACAATCACACCCACTTCACGGCAGCAATCGGCCAGGTGGGTGGAGGTGAAAGGGTCTGAACACTTTTGCTTTTAAAAGCAAGCTGTGAACAAGTCGTACGCGGTTCTCCAGCACACTCGACCCTTACCTCGGCAGCTTGTTGCAGCAGCACTCGACGGGATTTTCCAAAATATGACGCGCGCAAGATAAAAAAGAATCGCTTGATTATTGTCAGAAGACATAAATTAGTGGAAAAGTGCAGGCAGATGATTCAGCTGACAGACATTCTCCTGCTGACTCGTAGAGCCGAGTGAGGAACCTACTACAGCACACCACTCACATGCAGACAAAGAACAGTGAAAGATCTCGACCCCTTACATTCCTTCACATTCGGTGGCCCGGAGCCAAGAGAGGACTCCACTGTGATTGCCCACACTCTGACTGGCCAATTACAATTCTTCTGACAAAGCATGTGGCCCGGGTTACAGGCACGGCTCAATAGTATTCACAGTAGGAGCCAAGCAAACATCGATTCAGCATTTCCCCCACAAAAGAACGGACTGGCCAATGCACGGCTCAATTTTTTTTCCATTAAACCGAATTCCTTACTGTTAAAGATTGCAAAATATCAGCTGCATTGCAGTCGGTCCCCCCGGAGCAGCAACAAAGTGGATAAATTTTTCATTAATCCCACAGTTTAATGCTTTGAGGAGTTATAAAACAAGCCACTACGAGCCAATTCACATAAATGTAGGTTGTTTACACGCAGCTTCCAAGCGCTACTACCGACATCTACGATACTAATTAATTACACTGATATGAGTCACTTCATTTGCAAGCTGTCCCTCTGAAATTCAAGTGTGATTCACGACTTGACGACTACACAAGGGCGTCCAAGATATACCTCGATTCCCAGCTCCCACGATTGTATACACGGCGCATTATCGCCGCAGTCAAAGCAAGCGGTTGTGAACAGAATTAGGCTTGACGGCCCACAGAGGACCGGAAATGCAATGGCCTCAATAGCCTTGCGTCAGCTTAAAAATTGTGTCATTAGCTGTGGTGCTTTACAGTGAATGGTTCTACGAGGTGGGAGCGTTAAAGCCCCGATGCATAGAAGACAAAAGAGAGCAAGAGCGTGGTTTTGTCAGATAAAAGGCGGTGGGAGAAACACCAGTCATACAGAGCGGTGGATGGTTGCGAGGGATTTCCCATCACAGGCCGACTGACGGACTTACTCGCCGCATGGTTGACAGTCTTCTCGGGAGGAAGTGCTTATCACCTGCTGAGACTCACCACGCCGCCTCCCCGCACCCCGTGGCCCTGACTGTACTTCCACAACGCAACTGCAAATGGAAACTGGCAGCATGAGAAGACAAAAAAAAAAAGAATCTCCCTCTCTTCTCCTTTTTTTTGCGTCTCGTCTCTATTACCCCGACAACATCAATCCGAGCTGTCAGTCGGCATCTCGTGCAGCAGAACCACATCAGGGCTATTGCTGGTGAAGAGATAAAAGTTAAAAGTAAAAGTTAGCAGCGAGGGTTTCGGTGCCTTGAGGCTATAGCCTGTCTGTTTTTTTTTTTCAGTCCAGCAGCTTTGTGGCTAATGTTCTGTACCTGCACCAAATGGCAGGCGGACAATATACTGGCTGGTGATCATAGTGGAGCATTTAACAGCTAAATAGCCTCACACCTCTCTCCACAGCACTGTGTCAGCACCAGAGAATGGTCAGGCTGGACCCATTATCGTTCTGCTATCAGGGGGGAGAAAATGCTCCGGCCTCTTTGTATTTCTTTGAACCAATCACATTCGTCTCGGGCGGCTGTGAGTCCAGGATGCTGCGACAGTGCTCCTACAAATTGTATGTGTGGGGGTAGGGACTTGTTAAGGTGGAACATTTGGGCACAGCGAGGCCAGCACCGTCATTAAAATGACTAATTTGGGGTGACTTAAGTGGTTAGGGTGCACACCACATGGGCACATACGACGCCCTGAGCAGCTCTTGACTGCAATTCCAGTCATTCATCCTACTGTCAAATCAAAACTGAAGGTAAAAATGTCTTTCAATAATAATTAAAAAGGCTAATTAACAGAAAAAAACAAGTAGGCTTGTCTCATTGTACGATCCAAGTCTTTGTCAAAACTTGCCATTTGCAGAGTGTAGGTTGCTGGCTCAGAGGGCGCTGTTTTCTGCAATGCATGAGATTTTAAAAAACAAGAGAACGCCATGGTGGAAATGGTCTACTCCAACAGTCTATATCCAGTGAGTCAGACTAACAGCTAAAGGGTTGGATGTTTCTTCAAAAAGTTGGCTGGGACCAAGCGGCAACCTCTGGTCCAAAAAAGTTAAGCCAACGCAGTTCCCCAAATGACCACCAGGGGGTTTCAGAAGTGATTCAATCCCCATCGACCCCGAAAACGTCGAACTTCAGTGCAAAAGTAAGAATGTTTACAGACTGGTACAAAAAAAATGGTTTTGGTCTCTGTAGCTAGTTTCGCTGTTCTGGACAGCTAAACGGGGTGAATCTGATATTAATGTTTAAATTGTAGAAAGTTCTACATCATTAAAGCCACGGTCACTATGAATGACAGAGTCTACTGTCACTGTGTTACTGTGTAATGTATATATACACATATATATTTATTTATTCATGTTCTTTATATACATATAGTTTAATATATATTCGATAGACCTTTATATTTTATACACTCAACTATACTCACCTATAACTACACTGATTATTATCATATTGTATAGCACATTATTATTATTTATTTACATTGCTATTAATACTATTACACTGTGCTGCTGTTCTTCCTAACAATTTGTTCCTTTATTTCCTTGTTTACTGCTTTTTTTTCCCTTAACTAATGTGTGCTACTGTCTCTGTCGGTGTTGTGCTGTTTCTAGAACAACAGTGTCCCTGATGTGCTCCACCAAAGGGATCAATAAAGTTCTTTCTAATCTAATAGAAGATAGGTACCATCTCAGGACAGTCCATGGCTCAGAGATGCTGGCATGGTCCCTTTGATTCCACCTTCACTTTGAATTAGACCAGAGTTAGAAGTCATGATGTTGAGCCACCACGCTGAGCTTCAAAACCCCCCTTGAGGGAAGCTCCAGATGACGTCATGGAAGGTTCGTCGGTGAACATTGGCTGCAAACATGACTTAAAATTCATGTGTGTTGCTCCGTATGTGTGCACATAGGCAACTGTCGCCTTAACAATTTCAAACATTGACAATATAAACTCACTTCTATTGCTTCTGTTGGCCAACCCGACCTGTTTTCTGACCATCTGAAGAAATTAATCCAGTTTCAGTCTCCTTCTAGCTCTGTTCTTGGTCTCCTCCAACATTTAGCTCCTGAGCTGCTCAATACTCCGTTATGTTCACCACCCAAGCTGCTCATTGTATGTGTGCACCACGGGAAACTCGAGTGGTCATTTCAAGTGTGTTTGTATGAGTTTGTCCCAACAAGCATCCTTCAAGATACACTAACTCTGGTGATGACTGATAAAACTACTCTGCTCTGGCCTCTAGACGTCTAACCTGCTGGTTAAACTTTCATAAACACAAGCACACATGTAGCTGCTTTTCCCATCACTAGGAGTTAAACTGTCATTCTGTCGTATCCTGACGAGGCCTCTCTCCGACTGTCTCGGACCCCTGACCTCACTCTGGGCACCGCCGAGTCGTGAACTTAAATGTCGCCTTTTCCAAACGACCAGCGCGGACCGAATCCAAGCTACAACCTTGAAAAATTAAAAAATGGCTGAAACATTCATGGAGCTTGACATGTGTTCACAAGCAGGTCATTAGTCATCCGACAGTCGATCCCAACCCACTTCAAAGCGGTGTGAAACAGCCCTGTCACCGCCTCTGGAGCTGGGATAGGAATCACTCTGACTCCCATGGGTGTCGCACAACTATGCCAACACTCTCCCACAAGTGTGCTTCCTCATCCTCTCTCTCTCTCTCCTGTCTCTCTCCAACACACAAAAACAACTGATTTGTCCCACTTAAAAATGAATGAAAGCGACTGCCAGGGCCCCACTGAAAGCAGGATTTGGGGAGATGTGCACGCTCTGGCTTTACTGGCAAAGAAAATTTGTGTTATAAAAAACAAACAAAGGCGACAAAAGCATTAACCGCTCAATAGCTTTTTTTGCAGAAAACAGTGCTTAAAAATGACAGCGACTTGCTTCACTGATCTGTGGGAGTTGCTAAATAAACGGTTGGCGGTGGCGACCACTTAAGGGGGCTGGAGGACATTTGGAGACATTGTGAGCCTTGTTATGAAGGGCAATAAACACCCTTTATTAAAAACCATGTTAACTATTATTATTACCATCATCAGAGAAAGAGAGATCATGTGTGACTGTGGTGCAAACTGATCGCACAACCCCTCCAGGCTCATTATGCCCCAGTTCTGCGTGTCTGCAGCCGGCCTTGTGATGAAATCTGTCCCGTGCTCCTCCACTGACCTGCTGGTAGTTCTCGTCCTCGGGCTGGAAGCTGTTGTCAGAGGGCTGAAACCTCAGGTTGATGTGAGGGAAATTGTGCAGCCAGTAAGTCCACCAGGGCGCAATGTAATCCACCCGAGCCGAAGACATCCCTGCTGCCCCGGACAAAAAGTTGGGCTCCAGCCCTGGAAATCAGCCTCTGCAGTTCTCTGGGATCTTTTTTTTTTTTTTTTTTAATCAAGTCTCACATCAGACAAAGGCAACGATAAAAGCATTCTTCAGCTTGTGTGTGTGTGTGTGTGTGTTGGTGGGAAAGCACACAACTCGGACACACACATGAGAGGAGGAAATAGAAAAAGAAAACAAAAACATGCGAGAAATCCTGCTGATGTTGTCGCCCAAAAACAAAAAACAAAAGTGAGCTCCGGGTGATCAGCGTGCGTCCATGCCTCCGTGTCCGTGGACCTGCAGATACTATCCGAGCGACAGCCGCTTCCACACAGCACAGCGGCGGGGGCGCGCACCCATAGTAGGCTCAGGACACGAGGAGAGGCGGGGGCGCGCACATATGCTTGCGATAGGCGGCGTGGCCGCAGCCTGTCTGGAGCAAAGGCTGCCAAATAATCACCGATGTGCCGATGAGCGGTGAGACCCCGTTAATGGGTTTTATTGTTTAAGTGTCGTCGCGTGACTGTTTGTGGAATTAGTGACCGCGCTGCCACCTAGTGTTCAATTAAGGCTACTGCACAAAAAAAATCATTCAGCCAGTTAAATGGCCACAACTGCAGGCAGTAAATATTTTTTACATCTTTATTATTATTATTTTAGTTCAGGTTTGTCATGTGCAGTGGAAATATTGTTGGTCACCCACTTGGAATATTTGTTTGAGAACTCAGCATAATGAGCTTCTTTATTGAGCCTTAAATTGATTTAAAAATCTGGAACAGTTGCATAACATGAGATTTTTTAGTTGCTCATGAGATAATTGCAATATTAAATCACACGGGGGTGAGTACAGGCGATGTCAAAAGAGTCCTTGTTCTGTTGAGGACGTCCATAAAAAAAATTAATCTGAACTTTGCTTTTTAACACTGAATCCTGGTCAGGACGGTTTGACTTTTTTTGGACAAGAATTTACAATAATAATAATAATTTTTGCATGTCAAAGTGAAAACTGATTTCCACAGAGAAATGTCAATTATTTAAAAATATGTGTCAAATAAGTGACTGCATGAGTATTTATCCTCTTTAAAGTGTCTCACCTCATTTAACGAAGGTGCAATTAGTGAAATGGAGATGATCTAAGTGTAGTGAATGTGTCTAAAGTGGTTGTTGTAGAATACACCTTCATCTAGAAGTTACATGAATCAGAACGTCCAGCTAGAACTGTACCACCAAGACAGAAGAACAACCCAAGCTGACTGGTGAAGAACAGGAAAACCTTCCAAAGCTTCATGGGACATCTGGAAAGACACTGTTGGGAAAAAAAAATAAAAATACAAGCTTAACTCGACCCTCGCCAGAAGGTTTGTTGGAGACTGAAGTCAATTGGAAGAAGGTCTTTTGGTCTGATGGGACCAAAGTGTAGTTTTTTGGCCATCAGATTAAACACCACCTCCACAGTGAAGCACGGTGGCGGCAGCATCATGATGCAGGGAAGCCTCCTGGCAGCAGGTTCTGGACATTTGGAGAGGGTAAAATGAAGGCAGCAAAGTGTAGAGAGAAAAAAGAAGATGTGTTTTCTAACAACACAGCGTACAGCCAAAGCTACAAAGAACTGGCTTAAAGAGAACGAGGTGAATGTTCTGGAGTGGCTGAGTCAGCGTCCCAGCTGGGAAACTTAGAAGGAAAGTGAAGACACTGAGTCCATCCAGCCTTTTGGTTCTCTATTTTTCGCAGCAGGTCTCTACAATATAACAAAGTGTGTGCAGGAGATACCGACACAACGCTTTATTAACTAATGAAGTCATGTACAGACTCTAAATGCACCAGAGTTGCTTCAGTCGAGGCCACCCGAGTGGACAGACGTTTTCAATTACTTTTGTTTTTGTGTAATTTATGAAACAGATTCACAAAATCGTTCTGTTTATATCGGAGGGCAGATGAGTGCAGCTGCAGCGCTGCATGTTGATGAGGTTTGTTGGCATCTTCTGCCTCGCACTCGAGACTTGGTATTAGAAAACGTGCATTTGGACGTACATGATGTATAGTCTCATAACTACGCAGCCTTCTTTGAGTTTCTTAAAAAGCACTATATAAAACGTGCATATTATTATTATGCAGTAGATTTGTGAGCAATTTATTATTTGGAAACAAGAGGGGGACCAAAGCAATGTTGTTTCTTTATAATCATATTTGCAGCAGCAGCAGCTCTTTGGTTATAAAAATCAAACCACAGCGTGCTGGTTGTCTGCTCAATATCATCCAATAAACATTTAAATGTACAGCACACACTCACCTGCTTTATCTTGAAGAATCACAGGATGTTTAATGTACTTGCGTCACTATTTAAAGTGTCCTGAGTTGTGCATTTGAACCTATAGAAAGAAAACTGAACTGTATGTTGGCGTTCATGTAATATTTCATGTGCAGCTTGTAACTTTGGTAGATCATCAGGTTGATCATCATTGAGGTAAAACATGCTGCACCATCACCAAGAAAGCATCTGGATGATATAAATGTATTGCAACATGTGCTTGGAATTGATTTTCATACACGTTCCATTACAGCTCAAATATGACATCTTGTGGAAACTTGTCCAAACACCATGTGTGGCTGCTGACTGTTATCACATGATCACAATTATTTTATTTTTAGTCAAACATTTCATGGCATAAAAGCAGAGACACGACGTAAAGTGATTTTTTTTCCAAATTTTTATTACAATTATCTGTACATCAGGGGTTTACTTCAGCTCCTTCACAGCCAGACCTGCAGAGAAGAAGACGACAGGTTAGAAGACATTAAACACTGCGCTTATAAACCACATGTTCAGCCATTACTTTGTGGATGTAAGAGTTCATTTCCATTTAAACACTGACCTAATACGCCATCACTACTCGGTAAAAACAAGAGAATCGCTCCAAACATTTATTGATGACTTAAACCCAACGTATCATTCATTGATATCAACTCTTTTGCTCCAACGAGGAGGCTTGAGGTTTAACTTGTTAAACGATCCAGTGCACAACTCAGTGAAACTAATCACACGCCGGTCGAGAACAAGCGAATGCAGTCGCACACATCAGCGCAGAGCAATTTTATTTGCATCAGCTTCCAAGACAGGCAGAGCCGACTGTTTACCCAAAATGTGTTTTTATTCTGAACCAGAATTACTTCATCAGCGGCACAATCTTTATACATCAAAAAGCAACGCTCGGCCCTAAACTTTGTGCAGACTGTTCCCTGTTTGACTTGGAGAATGGAAACTAGAATGTAAACGGCCAATAAAACAACACAGTTCGATTCAGGGAGACATCTTTGACGAGAACTCTGAGAGATGTGGCTGTGTTGGATTTTAATTTGACAGACACCAGAGTTCACGAGTCATCCTGATCCAGATAATTACAGCTTATTGGGCAGATAAACAGGCTGGAGTCACTGCAAACACCAGCAGCACGTCTCGGGTCACGTCAGGGTGTGAACTAATTAATCTACACTTGGTATCGGGGCTCCTGCAAGGTTTGACAACATTCAAACCGCAGTGTGTAAAGTATGCAAGTGTGACGGAAAGAGAACAGACGGGAACACCTAAACTGTCTTAAAAGTAAAACAGCTTCTGATGGGATTCCTTAAATACAAGCTGGAGCCACATAAGCAGCAGAAAACTGATAAATTACCCGATTTAAAATGCACTTATTTGACTTTGAGAGACTTTTTAACGACGCCAGCAACAAGGATGCTGCTGCCTGCCTCCACACAGGCCACCTGAGTGTGCTGAACACTTTGAGCAACAGACCACAAACAATCAAACATCTGTCGTCTCTGCAGCAGGAAAGAGATTCATGACTTTAGAGATTTCCACTATAGAGCTTTCTGGGTTTTTTTTGGGACACTTTGAAGACCCTGTTGTGAACTCTACATGTCTACAATCCCAGTGGTCGTTTTAAAATTGTGTCCCATAATCAATATATGTATTGCGTACATGTGATGAGACGAGTCATTTGGTAGGATTCTCTCTGTCCTGCTTGGATTTCATTGACTGATAAAGCACCGTGACAGTCTACGTATTTTAAAACCAGGCTTCTGCAGTGGTTTTCCATGTGGACCTCATGTTTACCCCTGTGCACTCTGCCCACTGAGAATGCTACAGATCCAAGCCACTCTCATGTTGTAAACAACTACAGTTTATGCGTTCGCTTCAAGAATACCCGGCGTGTTCCTGAGGCCCAGTAAACAACGTGGATTCATCTCCCACATTGTCAGACATCTGCAGCGCACATGAATGCTGATGAACGTCCTCAAGTCTTGTTTACATCAGTTGTAGTTTTCCATTGTTCGCACATTGCCTCGTTTTAAAGTGAATTACTAGAACTCTGCAGTCAACAGGAATGTATTATCTCCAGGCTGACGTTGCCTCCATCTCCACCGATTTCAGTGAAGAGCGGGGATTTGATTTTCCCCCAAACATTTCACAAAAGCGCAGCCTTTCTGCCTGAACCGGCGTCATCTCAGGTCAACACTGAGGCGAAGCAACGCCAACAGCAGTAAGTAAAAATAAACTACAATGTCAGGCGATGCTCAGAATAATAAATTCAAAATCAAATCCTCCTTAGTTCCAGTGCTCCGCTTGACCACAGTTTGACAGTGTTCCTCCCGCCCATGCTGCTGATTGGCTAACCGTTAGCGCTCTCTGGGCGCTTATTTGAACTGAGAAACCACCGTTTCATGTCACGCTGCCAGACAAATCAGCCTCTTCTCACAATAACATGCTCTGAGCCTCAAACGGTCCAAACATCCACAGGACCTCTTTAATTAGAGCCAGTGGAGACACAAACATCTTCACATCAGGGCTATCGAAGATTTATACTGTTAAAGTACAAAATCTATTTGGAGTGGATACAGAAACCCGTCAATGTGACACGAACTAGGACAAGAACCAAGGCCACAGTTGTCTGGTGCACCAACATGGTACCTCTGTGATCACTGACCTGGTGGCAGGGACTGCTTGAGCTTCTCAGCCTTCTCCTTGTCTGTGATGACCAGGGTGTACAGGTATCTGCTGCAGCGCACCTTGAACTTAACATTGTCCTTGTTCTTCTTGATCTTTACGGCTGGAGGGAGACAGACAGCTGTGTTCAGAGTCAACTCATCACCAGACATACAACATTCATAGATGTGCAGTTTCCAATAGAGATCAATACATCTTTTACAAGATGCCATCACAAAGTTCTGGGACTGTCATGGTCTCACGTGAGCACCACAGGCGTGCAGTGACCGTCACAAGTCAAACACCTGTGTGACATCGCAC